GGTACAATTTACACTAAAGCATATAATATACATACATATTAGAAGTAATATTTAAGGGTTATAATATACAGATTCATATAAGGATGATTAATAAGACTATATACATACACATAGAGGGTGATATAAGAGAATACAATAAAGAAACATATGAACTTGCTTAGAGATAGTTATGTAATAATAATAAAAGGAAGTATTTATTTATTCAGTTTTCTAAAGGGCTATAGACATCTTTTATGTCGACATATTGATGTATCTGAATTCTTGGCAGTCTCAGTATCCACATTATCAATTTGCGTTCAAATTGAAGAGTTCATTCAAATATATATTGAGTAGAAGTGGTCCCAGTACAGTGCCTTGAGGTATCACTTGTTGAATCTTTGATTTTTACGCATTGTTTTCTTTCATGTAAGTAATTACAGAACAGTTCGTGTGATAGACCTCTGAATCCAATTTCACTGAGTACTTCTAGAAGTTGTTCGTGACTCACAGTATCGAATGCTTTTTTTAAGGTCTACGAAAATGCATAGGCAGGGTCTATTTTTCTCAATATGCGCTCTGATCTTATCTGCTAGGGATGTTATAGCATCTAGAGTAGGTTTTCCATGTTGAAAGCCAAATTGGTTGTTGAATGTAATTTTGTTTTTTGTTAGGTAGTTATCTATAGTTGTTTTAAGAATTTTTTCATATATTTTGGCAAAATTTGTAATTACGGAAATGGGGCGGTAATTTTCTACTTTAAATTCATCACCGTTTTTGTACATAGGGGTGACAATTGCACATTTGAATGATGTTGGGCACCTTCCTGTTGTGAAAGACCAGTTTATGAGATAAGTCAGGGGTGCTGTTATCTCCTTCGCTATAATTTTGAGAGTTTCCGCTCGAATTTCATCTAGTCCAGGAGATTTTTTATTTTTTTATTTAAAAATTGTCTTGAAAACTTCATCTTTGTTTGTTTCTTCTAAGTAGAAGCATTTAACAAGGCGAATATTTGGAATTTTCTGTTTATAGTTCGGTTTTCTTTTAATAGTTTCTGCTAGGTTTTTACCAATTCCAGTAAAATATTTTACAAATTCATCTACCAATTCATTCTCATCATTTATTTTATTTCCATTCTCCGTATGTATTTCAGTTATTACTCGTTTATTCGAACTTTTGGGTGTTATTTCGTGGATCGTTTTCCACAGTTTCGCTGAGCCCCCCATATTTTTTTCAACTTTTTTTTGGTAGTAGTTTATTTTGGCTTCAACTATGGTTTTCTTGAGTTTGTTTTGGTATTGTTTGTACTGTGTTTCATTTTCATGGTTTTATAAAGAGATAGCTAAAGAAATATTATATTGCAATACAATAATCAAAGCAGAATAATCATAAAATACAAATCAACTAACAGAATTCAGTTTAAAAAAAACACCTCAATGGTGCTGCTTCGTTCCCTTCTGTTCATAAAAGAGGACAAAGGCCTCCTGACTCACAAGCGATTATGGTGAAATTGGAAAAACTTGTTAATCGTTGTAATCATGCCACGTGGCACTATATGGGTGTCTGCAATATGCTGTGTAATGCCCGTTGTAAATAGTCCCACTGTGATACGAAAGTGCATATAGATTATAACGACAAGGAGCCACTTTGTGTGCTACATAATTGATCACATCAAATCCTTCCAAAGAAAATACAATGGCAACATTCAGTTTGCCTCTGAATTTTTCCGTTGGAGAGAATATTTTTAAATGAATTACTAAAATATGGGGAAACTTGTAGATTGATAGGGACTTTGTGCATTTTCTTCTTTCGTTGCACCTCGAACAAGTTGGTTTTTCATCTCCATCCAGAGTTTCCTCTCTTGCGAAGGAATTCAAGCAATGTGACAAACTCAATTGGCCAGTTCTTTGTGGTATGGGGAGAGAAAACACCCATAAAGGATCGAAGGTTACTTCAATTGACCAACGAAATTGTCTACAATCTGAATCACAAAATCACTAGCTAAATCACTAGCTAAACTGCCAGTGATTTCATTGTTTAGGAATGGAGGCTGCGAAGACTTAGATGTAGTAGGATCCTGTAACGATGTCAAACTGGGTACGATATAGATACAATATAATTAAGCCAATTTCAGGCAATGATATAAAGTGTTAGCCATGCTGTATCATAGATTTGTTGAGGAAGTGTACCCTGTACCTCTGGATTGGATACGGTCATATCTTTGTGGATGGCAGTATGTCTCAATTAAAAAGGAGTCATCTGGGTACTTGAAAAACGACTTGGGTGTCCATTGCCATTTGAGTTGAAAGTATCCGGTAGAATTCTAGAAAAAAAATCAGTTGAAGTACTAATTACAAACTCGGGTAGACAATAAGAAATTTATATTCTGACTTTGGTGGTCCAAAGAAAAGGCATTTTTTTAGCCGACAAATATGAGCCGTTTCAATATAAACCACTCTCATTACAAAAAATTATTACAGAATACAATTGCAGGTATACAATAAAGATACAAGAAATGTTACATCTCAAAACAATAATATAAAAGTTAAATTGTAATTAAATGTTTAATCAATTATTGTAAAGCAATTGAGAACGCCTGTAATCAAAAACCTGAGTAATCAAAAACTCATCAACCTGCTCATGAATGTGTAATTCAGAAACTTATTACAAAAAAAATTGGGATTGAATACGACTTTTTGAGTGTAGAAAAACTGCAATGAAACTCAGTAAAATATAAAATAATGTCGTAATTTTATGAATGAATTGAATGTTTCATCTCATAGTTTATGCAGTTTAGTGCTGGAGATACAATAACACAAATGTCTCATTCCGAAACATCGATGTCCGCCATTGAGGATGGCACTCTTCCACTTAAGTGAAATTTTACCGCTTTCGTATGCTATATTGTGTAGCAGTCCTGTGAATGATATCTGTTTCAATTCCATAACGAATGTTTGGAATACAAACTGAATAGGAAAAAGCGTTTTTTGTATAACTCATTTTTTATATAAAAGTAGGGCTTTTTCTTTCAGTTATGTGTGTGAATGTTACTTCTTTGCATGATCTACACAACTTCGTATAGAGTTTATTTTGATATGAATTGTTTTCTTCCTTCCTTTGGAGGTAATTTCCCAAAAATCAATCCTCCCTTAAAATAAACCCCTTTCAATTTTGAATTTGGCTAGATCTATGAAAAACAAATGAACTTTCGGCTACTTCTATATGTGAAATCGAAAAAGTTTATCTTTTTTCATATCACTTACTTGTTCCAAACTGCCGAAATCAAACATTTTTCTCAAAAATTGTTTTTGAGCTATTCACTACAATCTTTTGTACGTTATTCGATCAGAAGCAAATAACAAAATAGTATTTCCTGATTTGATCAATATTTATAACCACGGTAGAATTTTCAAAACAGTGGAAGCTGGAGATATTCCGCTTCCACTGTACAAGGTGTATATATATATATATACCACGCAGGTAGCTATAGCTGCCTACGTGGTCATGTTAGATGTAGCCTAGGAATTCTAGGTCTTCTAACTGGAACCACAAATGTGCCGTTGGCTTCTGTTGTTGACTCCGTGCGTATGTGTTGTTTCCTGCTTTCGGCAAACAAGTGTTGCCCATCTTTACACTTGGCTGCACCGCGCTGATGAGGCCAATAGCCAGAAACACGTGTCCGCGGTTTGCCCTTATTATATGTAAAATCTTCATTAGAAAAAAAAATTAAATCACATTGAAACATTATATTAATTTTTAGATAATGACAATTTCGGAAAAACAACACATCATATTCCACCATCCGTGAAAACCTTCATTGTAATATATGTATATATATATATACACTAAAACATTAAGAAAAGCTGAAAAATAAAAATTAAAAA